CGGTGACAGGAGCTGAGGGCGCGGTGACAGGAGCTGAGGGGCGGTGACAGGAGCTGAGAGGCGGTGACAGGAGCTGAGGGGCGGTGACAGGAGCTGAGGGGCGATGGCAGCAGCTGAGGGGCGATGGCGGGGGGCGCGGAGTGACAGGATCGGCGAGGCCCAGCGCTGACCCAGCACTGCCAGGGCTGAGCTCAGCACTAAACCACGTCCCCAAGCCATCTACACGGTTTTCGAATGCTTCCACCGCCTCCCTGGACAGTTCGTCCCAATGCTCGACCACCCTTTCTGTGAAGGAATTTTTCCTAATGTTCAGCCTAAACCCTTGAGACCGTTTCTTCTTATCCTATCACTTGTAATCTGGGAGAGGAACCCACCCCCACCTGGCTACAACCTCCTAGGCACCTGCTGTGAAAAGCAGAAATGTTTTATATTGCAGTCTTCAGATACTGTAAACCCTTTTCCTCTTTGCAGGTAATGAGAACATCATGATGAAGTTTTAAGACATTGTGGCAGCTATTTGCACCACAGGTCTTTTTTCAACTAAGGCAGAATAATTTTACCTGGAATTTGTATGCACAAGTCATGTCACTCAGACAATACAAGAAAACTGTTTTGTCTTCAAAATCTTTATTGCATCACTGTAACATAATCAAATGTGAAGCAACACTTCTAATTGATTGTTGCAGCTCAGCAATACAATGTAGCTGTTTGAAACTATTTTATTAAACCAGTCAATATAGCCAATATAGCCTTTGATTGGCAGTTTTAAGATTATGATGTGATTAAAAGAACCACTGGCAAAGTTGTAAAAATGCCATTGTTTAATTTTTTTACAGAACTTTAAAAATTTTCAAATGGCTTAAGCATGTGAACTGATTTATGTCTCTGTAACTGATTCTACAAATTGGCGATTCTACAGAAAGGTTAATGCTTTAGTATTGAAAAGAAAAAAAAAATTAAAAGTCCCTCTTTATGATCTTGAAACTTTAAATAAATCCTCACAAGAAGGTGCTTTATGGTGACTACTGGAAACAGGAACATGATGAGGTGCTCTGACCTACCCCACACCTCTTACTGCTGGCCACAGGTAAGGCAGAGCTGCTTCATCTCCTACCACTCCCCTCTGCCTTGCCTAGGAAGTCAGAGCTGTTTTCACAGCTCTTGCCTACATCTCTGCATAACTGAACTTGAAATTTGAGTACTGAAATAGCATGCTCCAAAATATTTGCTTATGTTAGTCCTTCTGTTGATAATCTGAAGACACATTTCAACACATGGACAGATTAATAAAGAAGAAACCTAGATGTAAAAAGAATAAAAAATTGCCCTTAAATTCTTTCATGTAAAAGGCACTAAAATTTTCTAGACGATTAAGGTCATTCTAATGTTTGAAAGTAATAAGGTACTGTGGATATGCCTGAATGTCATTAAATATGACAAACACTGTTGGATTAGCCTCATCATTAACCACACTGTCGTACAGGTCAGTAGGATCTGTTTGGCTCTTTTCTGGTGGAGTCTGTAGTCCCTCTTTCCCAGCACAGTACTGCCCAGTTAGGACCCGAGCCAAGTACATGTACTTTTTGCCATTCATATCTGGAATGGAATAAATATTCCGAGCAGAGTAACATGCTTCAACAGCAAAGTAGGTTCCTTTTCCAAAGGCTGCAGCTGTTAGGAAACACAACATTTTCAAATAAAATTAGTGTTCTTATTCTCCTAAGAATATCGAAAACTCCTTTCCTAACTCTGCAGGAGCTGTGGTTAGAGTTCAAACACAAAATTCTAGTCCTAATCCTTTGTATCAGAATCAAATATGAACCCACATAGATACCAGGTATCAACACCCAGGTTTTGACTTCCCTTTCCTATGGAGAAAATGTCTCCTCTGTTTAGCATGGTTTAGCCTGGAATCCACCAAACTTAAATTCTTCGGAGACTTTTGGAATTAAAATGACTATATAATTATAATTATAGTTTTCTAATCACACTTCCCAGCAAGTTAGAGGAATCACATGTCTTTGTTCAAGACAAATTTCTTTTTTCTGGCATTGGTAAAAAGCTGGTTAAGCCAGACAGGTCCTTTCTATCCAGCTGCCCTGATTTTTGGATACTTTTGCTTGGGTACCCAGCCTGACAGAAGGCAAGTGTGCCTCCCCAGTCATTAATCACAGCTGAGGTGAAAAGGTGGATGTCAATACCCACAAGCAGAAAGATGACATGAATATCTGCGGCTCTTGCTTCCTGAGTAAATCCAACCTCATGACACTACCAAAGAGCAGGAAAGCTAAACTACATCTCCTCTGGTCATATTTCAAAAAGAAGTGGTGGCTGCCACTCCTACCTGTGCACAACCTGATACATTTTGTGTATGCTGGGCTTCATTTATTCAATAAAATCTCAGAGTAAGTACCTCCAAAGGATCCAGACAGAGAAATGTCTATTTTTGGATCCAGACCACACTGAAGTGTCAACTAGATCTGAGTTAAGCTGCCCAGCTGTCTCAAGATCAAACTAGCCCTAGGCATGTCCAGTTCTGTCTTAAGGAAGAAAACATTAAGAACAAAAGTAAGGGACTTTTTAAGTGAGGTTACATGACCGCTAAAATCAGCTAGCACCTCAATTCAGTCCATGCTCCACTTTCTTCATCTTTGAATGCTGCCAAATAATACACATAACACAACTATACTAGTGGAAGTGGACAAAACAAGCTTTGAACTAATGCAGGATATCTTTATGCTAAATATTTAAGTTGTTTCTAACAAATATTATAAACTATTATAACTATTATTATAAAGGCTAAGAATTAACTACTGGATCTCATAGATTTTGTGAGCATAAAGTTGGTACAGATGTGGGATCTTATGCTGTCCTAATCTCTCGACGTAACAGGAGGAGTATCTGCACTTCTACTTTGCTACCTGTCTTTGTGTAAGAGGAGAGGAGATACCATCAGCTAGGAGCTGCTACCTTAGTTGAGGAAGTTGAACAGTGTTCCTTGTTCCTCGTTCCTTTCTCTTGGTAAAACCATGACGATGATACAAAACAATTCCTAAAAGCTGCCAGGCTTCATTTCAGAGTAAGTGAACTCTTTTTGATACCCTTTACATGGTGGCATCCAGCAACAAGTGATTAACTGAACAGGACAATTCCTCTGTCCATGTAGATTAATATCAGGAGTTGTTTATTATTGTTTTCTCTAATTTAATTCAGCTTTCATGTTGTGCTGACAGCACGATAACATTGACATCCTGTAGTACTCATACATGCCTAGGAAATTAACTGATTTGGATAATGACTCACCATTCTTTCCAGCATACCCACGATTAAATCCATAGTAGTTAATCAACCTCAGTGAGGATGAAGCTGTCCCATGAAATAGCAACTTCTCATTATTTTGATTTTTGTTCTTTTCACAGATGAATTTTTTTTTTAGTTGGTATGTCTGCCAGAGGATGCGATTTTGTATTCTTTCAATCTGTAAAAGTACAAAATTAACTATATTTATACTAGAGATAAATAGGGTAGGGAAGAATATTTATCATGGCAAGAAAGCGTTAAAATGAAATCAAACTGAAAGAATTATAGTAATTTTCACTATGTCCTGTTAGCATGAGGTTTGGGTAAAGGAACTGAATATGTAGGCCTCCTGCAGCTCACAAGAGAGTTTCAAGATCAGTAATTTTGGGTGTACATTTGTCTTGCCTAGTATACTAGGTTCCCAGCAGTCATGGTAGCTGTGCATTGTCATTTCTAGAAACAGGCTGCTGTACCACTGCTAAAGGCAATGACCTAAGATGCATCCTATACTTCCTGATCATCTTTACTGATGATTTTCTCACTAAAGGACAGACTGTAGCAACAGCATTAGGTTCAGTTTAAGTTTCTCTTCTAGATCTAAGCTTGCAAGTCAAAATTGCTTCCTCTAACATGTAGCTTAGCAACCCATAAGAAACTACTATATAAAAATCACTTGGTGGGAGGATGGATGTTGCTCGCTCCCCATACCAACAATGTGGATATAGCTTAAGGGGAAGCAGTGTCTCTGCATCGAAGTATAATCTCAAAGGCATTTCTGTAACAGGTTTCCATTTTTTAACAGAAAAAGACTAATGTCATAACTTGATTTTTTTCTGTGGCACACTAATATTTTGTTCTCTTTGTGTGTTTTTGTGTTTGAAGCTCATGATAGAAGAAAAATTTTTAAACACATTATTCTCACTCCTAATTTGATTGTATTTTCTATTGTTTATCTCTTGATTCAGAACAATTCCATCATCTCCCTGGCAATTAAATCTCTGTGCACTTGTTGAAGACTTCTAAATAAGCAGGATCAAATATTGACACTGGTTAAAACTAACAGCCAAGCCTGAAAGGCTCTGGAATGACAGGGGAGAAGCTGTAAATTAGTCCAAGGCTTTGTGTCAGTCTGCAATGACCTTGTATTTTTTCTTTGTATTCTGAATGCATTTGCTCATGCCTCCATTTCAGTATAGAATTTCCAAATTGGAAATACCATATTAACTAGTGAGTACCACATTAGCTGAACAAAGAGTCAGCCTGAAGACTGACAGTCACTGGTTTTGCACTATTAGATGTCAGAAATGACTGAACAGCTCTTAGGAAATTTGCTTTGATTTATATTCACTCTGTACAGTGCTGGGGACACTGGCATTTAAAAGGTGTATTGGGTTGCAGAGACCTTATAAGCAAATATTTAGGAAGTATATTAATATTTCTTGCCCAAGCATTGACATTTCCCCCCTCCCCACCCCATATGACCCCATATCACCTTCTCTATGTTATAGTTGGAACATGTTGTCTGAAACATCTTCTCCACAGTTTTATATTCAGGATGCGATGGCTTGAGCTTCACCACTTTGACCTGTTCATTTTGCATGTCTGTCCACTCCTTAGGGAGCTCTATTGACTGCAGATCTGCAAAACACAGGTTGCATTATTATGACAACTAGCTCCAGCTCCATAGGCACATCTTACAAACCTGCATAGCGAGGACCAAGAGGACAGCATCTTCAGTAATACTTCATTCAACAAGTACTCTTGCTCTTCCAAACATCACTGGCTCTGTTATACACTACAAAGGCTTTACATTTTGCCTAATTATCCCCATACCAATATCTAACTGAAACAAGTTTAAAACCCCAGAAGAATTTTATGTATTCTTCATACACCACTTCCTTTGTCAGACTTAAGCATGAAATCTATGCTCACCAGTCACATATATGCAGATAATATTTGCACTTGAAACTGGTGTTCTGATTTCACTCATACTTCCCACTGACTATGAAACTCAAAACTGCTGGCCAAGGGGAAAAAAAAAAAAAAGGAGTACCTTCTTTCTTTGGAACACCTGAGCTGCATTTATCCAAATCATCATTCAGTAATAACTATCCACTTTTTTTTATTTACCTTCATCCTTTGTCACACGTTGAAGATTTATAGTTTTTCCTTGGTCATCAGTAGCCTTCAGAGTATTCAGATCCACCTTGTAGTTCTTATTTTTAATTTTGACATCCAGGTATAATTTTTTAGCCATTTTGGCATTTTCCAGCTGCATATTTGTCAGTTTATCAAAAGTAACAAAGCCACCGTTGCTTCCTGGATACCTCCATTCTACCAGGTTGGAAAGAAGTTCTGCCTTGGACTGCTCTTCTTCAGTAGACTTAATTTGTTGGATCATGTCTTGAACTTCTAGAGAAACGGAATAGACATCCCTGCTAATACCAGAAATTTTAATTTGAGGGGGAGAAAGCTCATTTAAAAACTGAATTTCGACTTTTTTTCTTAGGTGGAGATCTTTCAAAATGGCAATTTGTGTCTCATCAAAACTTTCAATTGCCTCATCTGAAATAATATTTTCAAATTGTTCCTTTGAAATTAAATCCTTTATCCAGGACTCAGCTGCATCCACCTTTTCTCGGCTTTCTCCACAAATTTGAAATGTGACTAAATTAACTTTCTTCTCCAAAATCATGGACTTTTTCTTCTCAGAAGATTGCTTTCTGTTCCAAAAAAAGGCTGTGGATAAATATGTCAATTATTAGTTGCAAATAAAAGAACTTAAGTTTTATATTCCCATGCACACAGAAAACACACCAACTTACATTTAAACATAGATAGCCATGATTCCGTTGGTGGTTCTGATCTTGTGGATGAACCTGAATCTTCTCTTTTCTTCATGCTTTCATAAAAGGCTGGGAGCATATTTGTCTGGAAGATCACAATCTTAACTGTCTGTAAATGCTGTACTGATGGCTGTCTTGCAAATTCCACTATAGCATCCAACATTTCATCAGCTACCTTGGATGAATTCTGTCCTGCTTGACCTAAACAAAAATAAAAGGCACATATTAGGAACAGTTTTTGTGCAAGTCTACTGTTCCCATACTAAGTTTGCCTGTTTCTGAACTACCCCCATCACACATTGCTTTCCCAAGAAAACACACACCTGTTCCAATAGCTGGGAAGGCAACAGATTTGTACATCCTTTGTTCACACTCACGAAGCACTTGGGAGACCTGACTCTTCACCTGGTTATTGGTAATCAAATGGATGATTTTACTGCACAATAGGTTCCCACCCTGTGTAGTAATAAAGCCATTTTGATACTGCCCAGCTGGAAGAGAGAAGACAAAGATATTTACAAAATAGCAATCTCTTTTGGTAATATTGATTGTTATACTGGTGCTACAAGAAAAGTGGAAAAAGTGGAAAGAAATCCACTGTGAGATATTTTATTGTGGGTTTACTTGATTCTGGTTTTCTTTGTAAATACCCTGCGGAGTTTCTTGGAGAAACTAATTCAAGTACATGTGTGTTTTCTAATTTCCTAACATCTCTGCTACAAAGTATTTTCCTATTAAGTACCATATAAGAATTTCTGATGACTTTGAATACATCTCACTTCTATTTAAAAGTATGCCAAATTAATTTATATATGAAAACCTTTCTTATTCCACTTATTCCTTAAAAGCCCAAATTCTTACTCTGCAGAAAAGCTGAGTGGATAAAATAATATCATTAAGATTATGAGCAACTGATCTAAGAACAGTATGGATTTTTTAAAAATATGGTTGTGTTTTCTCAGAGCACTCATGTTTGCATACAAAATGGAGTCATACTGTGAGGATGAATGGACTAATGAGCACAGAGCTCCAGACCACCTCACAGATCATGAAGGTAATGACTGTAAGATGTTCTGCAAGTACTGAAATCAGGCTGATAAATTTACTTTGAGAAGAAGGCTTGTCTGCCAGAGGTGGTTTTCTCATGAGTCTCAGGGTTTTCTGAAGAACATTTTGTACATTAAGTTAAAATGTAATTTGGAACATTGTAATGGGGTTTTAAGTTCCTGCCAACATGATCATTCCTTTGCTTTGTGTATTCCAACAAAAAAGTAAAACTGCACTAAGAGTTTTGTTTTAAGTTGAAGGTAAGGACTGTTTCATAGTAGAATGTTGATAAGGCCCTGCTCTGTGGTGGAGCTTCCTTGGAAAACAAGCAGGGTGTAGCTCTGCAGGGGAATCAGACACGAGTGTATTTACCAAACAAGTTGGAGCTAAGCATTTTATCATGTCCCCTACAGAGTAGTTTAGAAATCAGAAAGACATGAAAATAGCTCTTTGAAACGAAAGAAAAGTAAAATCAGTGTAATAGTTCTAAGAACAGAGACATTTGCCTGCTTTGAAGTTAATGATATATGTGTGTTTGTACAAATATTTCTACAGAGCCACAGGCTGGGAGAAAAATTCAGGAAACTCCATCTTGGAAGTCAGTTTCCAGACACAGAGCAGGCACATTTTGGTTATGCATCTAAAGTGTCCCTTTCTGTGCTTGTAGAGACCAACCACAGTGAGCTGGAATTTCACTGCTCTACTGCAATAGAATGCAATCTATTGAGAAACTTATGATCAGGATTATCCTGATTTCAGTAGGGATAGAGTTAATTTTCCTCCTAGTAGGCAGTATAGGGCTGTGTTTTGGAACCAGTATGAGAATAAAGTGTGTAACACACTGAGGTTTTAGCTGTTGCTAAACAACTATGAAAAGGAAAATTCTCAAGGTATATGTCAAAACAGGAAGGGGACTTTTTAAAGTTCTTAAAAGTGAAAGCTGTGTTATTCACCTAAAATAATTATGGCATCAGAGTAGAGAATTATAAAGCAACTTTAAGTTTTCAGAGAGAATGATAACAACAGAAAAAGAATTATCAAAAAAACAGTATGCTCTAACATACCATATTGAGCACATTCGTTTGCTACCTGGGAACCAGCAGCATCCATAATTGCTTTGCAGACTCCTTAAATCACAGAAAAAAAGCGCACACAGTCATTAAGCCTCCTTAACTATCTCTACTCAAACCTCTACCCAACATCTGTACTCTACACATGACCTCAATTGCTGTATGGCAAGATAGCACAAAGTTCAAAACCTTGCCAGTTTCCCTACATACTGTCCATGACACACTGCGCCGGCTGCAGAGAGAACATTTCCTTCACTGCTGATTACAAGTCATTAAGAACAACTCCTATTTCATTGTTTCACTCGACAAACCCATATGTCCCTCACCAAACTCTCCAATGGCTTTGAACTACAACATTTGGTATCTTTCATGCTTAGAATTCACTATGTTAAAATCCTCTGCTTCTTACAGGGCTTTGTCTTGCAGTGAAACATTTTAGGATAAGAGCATTTTTTCAGAATTATACTTTATCTAAAAATTCCATTTAAACATTTTAGTTTTAAGCAAGAAAAAAATGGCCTTTTGTTTGGAAAGTAAATGAAATATTCAGGATGTGTAAGAAAAATGTTTAAGATCAATTTCCTGACTAATCACAACTCTGTATCTCTCATCTGAAAAATGCTTCATAAAAGTTTCCCTTGTGGACAATTCTTTCCTGTACTCCCTAGACTAGATTTATTACTAAAGAACCACATATTCAATATAATACCTGTTTTGGCATCAAATGATGAATTTGATATGTTTACAATAACCTCTGTGTCTTCCTTAGTAATATCTCCACTAATTACTTGGAGTGTGATGGAACCAATCTTCATTTCATGAACTCTCAACAGTTCATCAGAAACAGGCCTCATGAAACCTGCAAGGGAAAGAAAAATATATTAACTCACTTCTCCTTTAGTTTGGAGTATTATTCTCTTCCACTGATTGAAACTTCCACTTATCCTTTTAAGGACTATGCTCTAGATCAGTTTGATGTTTATTCCATCTCTGAAAGCTGGGAGGCACACTATTCTTCCTGATTAAACACTGTGAAAGTGAAACCATTTCTATTCCTGTAAATTTACGCAATATGAATTCAGAAAATGGCTTCAGGGTTAATCTGATATGACCAGCTCTGTAACAGTTTCCTGAATTAATTCTTACAAGAAACGAAGCATCCAGCTTAAGAGCTGCCAGTAATGGAGATCATATCACATCCCTTTTGTAAGTTATTTCATATTTACCTTAATGGATAAAAAACTGTTCCTTTCTTCTAGTCTAAACTTATCTAACTCATATTTTATCTGCCCACTCTTAACTTCATCTCTCTGATACTCAGCAACTGAGGAGGAAGAGCTTTATATCCTTATGAATAAGCCTCTGCCCTTGATGCAGTACACTCATGTTTTGGCTATTGTGTCCCACTGTTGTCAAATAATAAATGGAAAGGAAATTATTCCTGTATATATATATATATATATATATA